CTCCATTGTATGCCATATAGAATCTCCATCAACCACGTGCATCAACTCTAGCCTTAGTATCCCGCATGATCTCTGACCACTACGGACGTCGTCTTATCCCCAAGTCGACTCCCGGTCCATCACCGCAAATACTCTCCCGAGACATCGAGTCACCTACATATGGAACAAACAAAGAAACCATATTCCGAGACCAAGCTATCTCCAACTTGACTCATTAGCAGCAAACAATAGTATTACAAACGTATAGTATTCATCTAGAAGTCATAATCATGAAATAAACTCGAATATCCAAATAAACAACCCGAAACCGAAACCGACACAGTGCCGGCCGATCAGACCGCGGGCTGCGCCGGTCTGACCGCGCATTACACGCCGGTCTGACCGGCTACCAGAGCTCGGTCTGACCCGGTCACATAAAATGAAGATCCTGCGATTCACCTGTAGATCCAATCATCTCCAAAACCACTTCGTGAATAAATTCCAAATAACAAAACCAATAATCTCCAATGCCTAATTGTTCATCACGGAATAATAATCAAAAACACCTTTGATTTTACAATCTCCCCCTTGATGAACACATTGGCAAATCCATAAAAATGTTTTGGTGTTTAGAAAAATAAAAAGAAAAGTGGTAAAAAGCACACTTCGTACAAATGTACACATCGCGCTCAAAAATCCAAAAGAAAACTTCTCCCCCTTTTTAAAAGAAAGAAATTCCCAATTGAACCAAAAACATGCTCTTCTCAACAACTCTCCAAAAATTCACCTTGCTGCTCTAAAAATCCAAAAATTTTCACATTACTTCTCCCCCTTTTGACAATGATTTCATCAAGCATAGGAATTATGTTCATTAATGTTCAAGAGCTTAGCATACATATAGCATATCATGTCATGTGTTGCAATAAAAAGAAGATGAACCCGTCTATAACATAACAAGCATGCATTAAAGTATAACCATGAACCAAAGATTTTACAATTAAACTTGAATCAACAATCAAAATTCATGATTTCGTACGATTTATAATGCAACATCTTAACAAGCACATAGGTTGAAGAATAAACAATAAACACATACACCTATTGCATTTATCACTCTTTCTCAAATAACCTTTAGCACAAAATAACCAAGAGAATTTTTTAACTTTTTCTTTTCTTGAGCCTTTTTGCTCATATTTTTCTCTTTTATTCCAGGTACGTCCCTGTCGTCAAGATTGTTTCCAGGGATTCGGCACCCATTATTTTGCTCACATCGAATACGTCCTTGCCGTCAAGACTGTTTCCAAGGATTCGGTATTTATTTTTTTATATTTTTTATTCTCTTTTTCACAATGAGCAATTAAAGCTATTTGAGGAATAACAAGTCAATAAAGCATATATATAGAGCATTTATAAATCAAACCATATGCTAGCATCAACATTGCATATTTTCTTAATTCAAGTATAGAATTTAAGTGTCATGCATCATCTCCCTTAAAAGCAAAATCTAAATCTCATGAAAAGACTAGAATACATACAAGCTATGCTAGATACAAATAAACCTTCAAAGTATTGCTAGCATGCACAAGAAAATACCATATACATAAACAAAGCTCTCTTTTCTCAATTTTTTCATTGTCATATTATCGCTTGATAAAACCATGAGGTACAAACTCCCCCTCGAACCATGCCAAAAGGATGAATTATGCCCAATTCACCACGAAGAAAAGCAAAGCGATTAGAATCCAAAGGTTTAGTGAAAATATCAGCAATTTGCAACTTGGTGTCCAAAAACTGCAATTCAACATCTCCCTTCTCAACATAATCCCTCAAGAAGTGAAAGCGAATATCAATGTGCTTTGTGCGTGAGTGTTGAACAGGATTCTTAGCAATATAGATAGCACTAGTATTATCACAAAAGAGAGGTATTTTCTCAAAAGTAAGACCATAATCTTTCAAAGTAGATAAAAGCCAAAGAATCTGTAAACAACAACTAGCAGCAGCAACATATTCAGATTCAGCAGTTGATTGAGCAACACTAGATTATTTTCTAGAAGACCATGCAATCAGCGATATAACAAGAAAATGACATGTTACACTAGTACTTTTCCTATCAATTCTACAACCTCCAAAATCAGCATCGGAATATCCACTTAAGCATATAGAAGATGAAGTAGAATACCAAATTCCAAACTTAAGTGTATGATTCAAATACCTCATTATTCGCTTGACCGCTTGACGATGTGAAGCACGAGGAGAAGCTTGAAAGCGTGCACACAAACACACAGCAAATTGTATGTCTGGCCTAGAAGCAGTTAGATACAACAAAGATCCAATCATGCTTCTATACTCCTTTTGATCAACAGTTTCACCATCTTCATCATGATCCAACACAGCTGTAGAACCAATTGGTGTTGAAATTGGCTTGCAATTCTCCATCTTGAACCGTCTCAAAAGATCCTTCGTATACTTCGTTTGATGCACAAAAGTACCTTGAGGTGTTTGCTTAATTTGCAATCCCAAAAAGTACGATAACTCACCCATCATGCTCATCTCAAATTCCCTGCGCATAGTCTCAGCAAAATCTACAACCAAGGCGTGTGTCGAACAACCAAAGATGATATCATCCACATAAATCTGAACAAAAAGTTGATTATCACCATGCTTAAGAACAAAAAGCGTTTTGTCAACCTTTCCCACCCCAAAAGCTAGTCATTGAGGTGAGGGGCTCCCCCACATACATCTTAGGTCCTTTGCCCTTCCACAACCAATGTGGGACTATTCAACAATCTCCCCCTTCACACATTGGTGTTCCTCAGCCCTTCACCGCCCCTTCACCGTATCCGGGCCCCCACCAGCCCACGTTCCATCAGGTATACTGGCCCCGCAGGTACCCACGGTCCATCAGGCCTTCACACATGTGTCCATCGGGCCAGCGATGTTAACCTAGCTTGGCTCTGATACCACTTGTAGGATCGAATCACAAGAACTAAGCCAACCAGAGGGGAGTGAATGGTTGGTATACCCAAAACCGAAAACTTTTAGCGGAAATAAAAGTTACCCTCGAAATCGACGGAGATCGGTCTGACCGAGATTGATCTTCCGGTCTGACCGAGTGGATGCCGCCGGTCTGACCAGTGTTGAACCTCCGGTCTGACCGCCGAAGTCTGTCGCGCCTGTCGCCGCCGCCGGACTGACCACCGGTATGCCGCCTGTCTGACCGCCGGTAGATCGCTTGTTAGACCGCCGAAACTCGGTAAACACAAATCGAAGAACTCTTAAAGTGGATGACGACTTTATTGATTCTCTCTGTGTTTACAAAGTGCACCAACAGCACTCCTTACAAAAATTTCGACTAAACTCGAAACCCTAACTCAAAACTCAACTCAATTGCTCTCTAAAGCGATACCGGGAAGCCTCACGCTCCCCCTCTATTTATACATGAGGTAGGCAGCCTAAAGCCACGAACCAAACTCATACTAAGAGTCTTAAACACCTTAGGAAACCCTCTAGTACAAGAAAGAAACTTTACATAACCAATTGTACCAAATTTGGACTCCTTCCAAATTCGACTCCGCATCCCATACGCACACAATAACTCCATCGTATGCCATATAGAATCTCCATCAACCACGTGCATCAACTCTAGCCTTAGTATCCCGCATGCTCTCTGACAACCACGGACGTCGTCTTATCCCCAAGTCGACTCCCGGTCCATCACCGCAGATACTCTCCCGAGACATCGAGTCACCTACACATGGAACAAACAAAGAAACTATATTCCGAGACCAAGCTATCTCCAACTTGACTCATTAGCAGCAAACAATAGTATTACATACGTATAGTGTCCATCTAGAAGTCATAATCATGAAATAAACTCGAATATCCAAATAAACAGCCTGAAACCGAAACCGACACAGTGCCGGCCGGTCAGACCGCGGGCTGCGCCGGTCTGACCGTGCATTACACGCCGGTCTGACCGGCTACCAGAGCCCGGTCTGACCGGTCACATAAAATGAAGATCCTGCGATTCACCTGTAGATCCAATCATCTCCAAAACCACTTCGTGAATAAATTCTAAATAACAAAACCAATAATCTCCAATGCCCAATTGTTCATCACAGAATAATAATCAAAAACACCTTTGAATTTACAGTGTGAAAGTTAGTTCCGTTTTCCGCCGCTGCCAGATCGGGGCGAACTCGACGGCGACATGGACGGCGGCTTACGGCCCCGACGAGGAGAGGCCCCGGCTTCTCGCTCGCCACCGTCGCCGATTGGGCCTCCTCGACCCCTCGCCACTCGTCGTCGCGCGCTTCGTATCTGCTGTGCCGCGCTGAAGGAGGAGAGCACGTGAGTTGAGGAGAGAGAGACATGGGAGAAAAGGCAGGCGTCGGTTGAGGGGAGACAGGGGAAAAGCTGAGAAAATGTGTTTATTTATGTGGGCCCTTTTTAAGGTTACATAGCACTTTGCAACTTGTGACTAACAATATTCTTGGGTGTTCTTAAGTCTAGGTGACATATGAGGTCCACCTAAATGTATGGCCACACTGCTAATGCCCCGCGTTCGTCGAGGGAGATTGAGTGAGAAAACACATCATTTTCTGCGCGCACGTTTTCCAAACTACTAAATAGTGTGTTTTTTTTAAAAAAAATTCTATAGGAAAGTCGCTTTAAAAAATCATATTAATCCAACTTTTGAATTTAAAATAGTTAGTACTCAATTAATCATGCGCTAATGACTCACCTCGTTTTGCGTATCTTCCCAATCTTCTCAATCGCAAATTGGGAAGATACGCAAATCAAGGTGAGCCATTAGCGCACGATTAATTGAGTATAAACTATTTTAAACTTCAAAAATGGATTAATATAATTTTTTAAAGTAACTTCTGTATAGAATTTTTTTTCAAAATACACACCGTTTAATAGTTTGGAAAGCGTGTGCGTGGAAAACGGAACTAACTTTCACACAATGTGCTGCTGCCGAACACAGATCTCAGACGATCAACAGAATACCATGTCATACATAACGGATTACAGATGATGAAACAACAGTAAGGAACACTTCTTCTGCCTGATCTGAGGCGATCAAAAAAGTCTACTCCTACTTGACAATTGATCCATATATAACCACATCTCAGCGCCAGCCGGCCGGCAGAAAGCATTCCATCACCACTACACATCGTCATAGTCCAGCTAGCCAGCGGACAATTGATCCATATATCAACCACTGCAACCAATGGCTGACGATTTTCTCTCCAGCCAGCCACAACCATGGCCGCCTCTTCTTCAGTTATCAGCTGCTGTGCTCTTCTTCCTCCTCCCCCTCCTCTACCTGCTCTTCCTCAGGGGCAGCAATGGCGAAGTACGGGGCCGACAGGGAAACTCTGCTTCTGCTCCTTCCCTGCCGGGGCCCTGCCGCCAGCTGCCGGTGCTGGGCAACCTGCTCCAGATCGGCAGCCGGCCACACCGCTATTTCCAAGCCGTGTCGCGGAGGTATGGCCCGGTGGTGCAGGTGCAGCTCGGCGGTGTCCGTACGGTGGTGGTCCATTCGCCGGAGGCGGCCGAGGATGTTCTCCGCACGAACGACGTGCACTGCTGCAGCCGGCCGCCCTCACCAGGCATGTTTATAAAACAGCTTACGCCTTGTTATTTTCACGTACTTCTTTTAGGGCCTGTTTGGTTTGAACGGGATTGAAGTGGGGATTGAGGGGGATAATTTCACACCACAATAGATATGGAACAAAACTCCTCCAATCATTTCTTCACAGGGATTAACCAAAAACAAGATCTTAGGACTTTTTTTATGCCGACTATTTTGACGTACTCCCAAGTCGATCACTAAGCAATCACGCAAGTGTAATACTCCCTCCCTCCGTCTGCACCGGATGCATGTACATATAAGATTCAACTCTAATATTTGACAAATACAAGCAAAACTCTTTTCATAGTCGGACAATCAGCAGGTATGCGAGCGGATACTTATAAAAATCACGGCTTTTATAGGCAGGCACTACACCTACTAAAAATCAGTTTTCTCACACGGCCTCGTAAGCCACCAGTTTACCCAAACAAGTCTCCTATGTCAATGGCGTGAAAATGGGTTTTCACACTTGACGCGCTAAGCGGACCGACTAGAGAAAAAGAAAGAAAAAAATATAAATATATGCAGTGGCAAATCCGCTGTTGGAGCTGGTTGGGCTCCAGCCCCAGCTCTGGCTGCCAAGAATCGACCCTAGATATCTATGCTTAGTGAGTTCACACTGACAGCAAAAAGCAAACGGCCATGCAGTGATGGCTCTTTGGCTGGAGAAGTTCAGGTTGAAAGAAATGATGTGCACGAAAATTTAATAGATCATTTGTAATCATTAATTATATTGTGGATTATTTTTACTCTTGTCTTCCAGTAGCTGTTGCAGTCTGCAGCCCATGACCTATATATATCTTCCAATCAACTTGTTCCCTTTACTCTTTATTTCATTTTTCTACCCGCGTAGGATTTTAAAATATTATTGATATAGTTCAAAGATACTTCCTCCGTTTCATATTATAAGACTTTCTAGCATTATCCATATTCATATAGATGTTAATGAAATATATGAATATGGATAATACTAGAAAGTCTTATAATATAAAATGAAGGGAGTATATGATTATTTTGTATTATGACTTTAAATATAAAGCCCCACCACTATTTTCATCCTAGATTCGCCACTGAATATATGTTCATGAAAAATTATCCAAACTCCTCAAATATCCAAGATCAAAATCGCAAATCCATCTGAGCCGCATGAGCTCATTCACGACATAGCTAAATCACTATCACAAAAAAATAATTCACAGAGAAATTCACAAAGCAGCAGTGCTGACGACGACGACGTAGCACCAGACCGAGCCTCATGAGCTGCTCCAACGCCAACACCGACCGCATGCTCACCAGTCGAGCTATGGTCCTCTCCGCTGGATCCGTGTGTCGTTGTTGCTCTTAGAGCAGGTACAATAGCAGATTATTAGCCAGCTATAAATATATTTTAATGAGATAAAGGATGAGAGAGAAAAACAGCGGACTACAGACATGTAACCATGCAACACGGACTTCAAGACGCAATATGTGTATGACAGGTGGGACCATATATTAATAGTATAGTAAGCAACTATTGTATGAATTGGCTATTAGATCGGCTATAGATGAATTAGAGCTAGTAGTGAGCTATACTATTAAACTTGCTCTTAGAGATACTGCTGCTCCGACAGCCATCACGGTGGCGTGCCGTAGCCATCGATCCCAAGGCAACCGTCGCTCCCATGCTCTCCAGGGATGGATCCACTGCACCCGTGGCCTGGGGCGGTGGATCGATCTGCCCATCGCGAGGCTTCTGGCACCGGATATAATTGTCACGAGGGCGTCGTTACCAGATTCCTCCAGTCAGGAACCCCGACGAGCCACTGTAGCCACTCCCATCGAGTAGGTTTGGAAGAGATGAAGTGAGCTAATAATAAAGAGGACATGAGAGAGGGGAAATGATAGAGGGAAACGAGAGAAAATAGAGGGGAGAGATAGGATTTGTCTGGGAGAAGAAAAAATTATAAGGAGGGGTGTGCAACCGAAATTACTTTCGCTTGTGCCAAATTATAAGGAGGACAAACATCAAAATTATCTTTTAAATTATAGAAAATTTAAGTGAATTTCGCTAGCGGTACAAAAAACGATGCGATCTAGTAAAAAAACTCATAAAACTCTCATTCCAGTACACGAACATGTGTAGGTGCATGCAAACCATATCCAAAATATGATACAACACCTAATGTTGCTGACTTGGACCCCTGATGAGGTCATCATATCAGGACGTGAGGAAAAACATAGGAAATATGAGGAAATTTCCATGAGGTTATACCTCATGTTACCTCATGTTAAATTTCCTTCAAAATTTATATGGAATGAGGCATTTCATACAAATTTTTATAGAATATATTTATTTTATTCAAATAGCTATATAGAAAAATGGAAAAAGAGGTTTTCATGGCAGCCGGTGAGATGAGTAGACGCGAGACGGCGAGATGGCTGGCAAGAAGGCACTCCAGTGAGAAGATGACACCAAAACCGATGGAATCTGCGGACTGCGGCAGGTGGTCGTGGTCTGCAGCGGCTACGGCTGGGAGGTCAGCTCATGCCCAATGGTGGTTACGACTTGGATGGCTGCGGCGCTGCGGCAGGATGAATAGGTGGTGGGCTGGGGCAACCTGACTCCGGCAACAGCGATGACAACATGAAGCTCAAACTTGGTTCAATCTTTAAACTGGAGACAACCTCGAATTAGCTGCTAATGGTTCGATCTGGTCACGAACTCATTATTTACCTTATGGAGAGTACCTCTAAATCTGAATTCTCAACAGGAATCACATCAGTAGAAATCCACGAACTCATTTTTTACTTTATGGACTGCAGTACTCACCGTATCTGACTCGGAGCCATATTGCCCTGGCCTGCAATGGTGCCAGCTCGCCTATCACTGCTCCTTCAATCATCACCAATGTCTACTAGCACTAGCACAAGTACCCTTCCGTAGTTCCGTATATGGATCCATTTTGCAGCCCTTTGGCGTTACTCATCAACCAATCAATTAGATTGAGACTTTCGTCCTTGGACTCAACCACAGCTATTGTGAAACTGATAATGATCGTGCAAATAACCCCCACACTTTTTCGTCCATAGACTGATAATGATTGTGAAACAGAGGAAGGAAAGAAACAAGTGTGGGGTCATGCCTTGACCACATGCATGCTGACGTGGCAATCTAATCACCATCTAAGTCAGCAAGATTTAGACATGGTGTCCTGTTTTCATCATGGCTCGCACGCACTATATATACACTATACAATACAAGTTTGTGTACTGCAGTTTGTGCTTTGCAAGTTCTTGTACTAAATCCTCAACCACCTCATATGTTTATGTACCATCGACTGTAATTTACTTAGGAAATTTTATAATTTTCTTATGGTATTTTCTACTAGTATCCGTTGTTGTTTATCTGGTGAAGCTCCGAGCCATCAACCATGAAAACCAAGAAAAGGTCCTAGTTGAGCGCCATATTTTTACATTTGGAATTTCTTTTAGTCTGCTTGCAAAAATGATGTGAGTACGTGTCTGAGAAATTTTTTTTATAGTGATATGAATTAAATTTTGTATAATTAAAATGATATATTGCATTGACATTTCAATCTTTTTTTTAGGTTATGATTTTATTGTAAATATTATAGTATATATATGAGTAAGACACAGTACTACAGAGTATATTTCACAGATATAGTTGTTCCCTGTTTGTCATTTTTCGCATGCATAATGTTACACCCCGCATTTTAAGTTATAAGATGTTTTGATTTTGGTCAAAGTTAAACTGCGTTAAGTTCGATCAAGTTTGTAGAAAAAGAAGTAATATTTTCAACCCAAGTCAAATTTATTATGAAAATATATTCAATTATTGATTCGATAAAACTAATTTAGTATTATAAATATTACTATATTTATCTATAAACTTAATCATACTTAAAATTATTTGACTTTAACCAAAATCAAAACATCTATATAAGTTATAATCTGGAACGGAGGGAGTATTAACTAGTACCATTCAGGTCCACGGATGCTGAGCTACAACTACCTGGACGTGGCCTTCGCCCCCTACAGCGACTACTGGCGTGAGATGAGGAAGCTCTTCGTCGTCGAGCTGACCAGTGTGAGCCGCGTCCGCTCCTTCGCCTACGCGCGGGCCGCCGAGGTCGCCCGCCTCGTCGACACCCTCGCCGCCTCCCCGCCAGGCGTCCCCGTCGACCTCAGCTGCGCGCTGTACCAACTCCTCGACGGCATCATCGGTACGGTGGCCTTCGGGAAGGGGTACGGCGCGGCGCAGTGGTCGACGGAGCGGGCCGTGTTCCAGGACGTGCTGAGCGAGCTGCTGCTCGTGCTCGGCAGCTTCAGCTTCGAGGATTTCTTCCCGTCGTCGGCGCTGGCGCGGTGGGCCGATGCCCTCGCGGGGGTGGAACGGAGGCGGAGGCGGATATTCCGGCAGGTCGACGGCTTCCTCGACTCGGTGATCGACAAGCACCTCGAGCCCGAGAGGCTGAGTGCAGGGGTGCAGGAAGACATGGTCGACGCGCTGGTGAAGATGTGGAGGGAGCAGCAGGATAGGCCATCTGGAGTACTAACGCGCGAGCATATCAAGGCAATCTTGATGGTATGGATTTAGTTCGTTTCATTTCTATGCTAAATTTCGTCTCTTTTTTCATGTCAGCATTGCGGATCAGATGTGTCGATATCGTCCATATTCCACTATAATTTGTCAAGTTTTACAACATTACGATTGCTCCGTTCTCTAGCTAGGTTGGAAATATATTTTGCGTCTCACTAATGGCGCATAGAGTTCGTTATTGAAATTATCCACCATATACTGTTAAAGCATAAGTGAACAATGCCAGCTTTGTTTGTATCTTTACACTAATGGCGCTAGAAAAACGATTTTCACAGTCCTCTCATCCTTAATTACACATGACCAAAATAAAAATGCCATGCATTAGGTTGGCAAGGGGAGAGGGGTCAAGAGTTGCTTGTGTAAACACATTATTACGTGACGTCACCTAAAATTAGTTGGTTATTTTAGGCGGCCACCTGTGATAATATAATTTTCCCACATAGCTCTTCTAAGAAATCGTCTGTCGATTTATTTTACATGTCCAGTGCTTTTAAATACCCGCGTGCTCTCAACTGTTGAGACACCCACCCGTGTGTGTCTTAATACATGTGTGTGTTTGTCCTTTCGTCTTCCTCATACCACTACTTCAACTACTTTCACTTCTATCGGTTATTGTGCAAACTCTTTGGAAGAGGAACCGCTAGAAGCCAATCATATCCTACACTACCAAGCCACACCACGCCACATCCCTCACCTCCCACTGTTCATCTACTTTTCAATAAATAGAGGGCAATGCGGGTTTTCTCATAATGCTCTCCCTCTCTGCATTAATCTACATCTCATAAGGATTGCAATTCTTTAAAAGGGGTTTCAGTAAGGAATATAAATGACCTAGATGCCCCTTGTTAAATAAGGGATGGTTGGGAGTGAGAGGGTATGTTTGGTGATAAGATGGGAAGAAATTTCAATGGGAGATGATTGACGACACAACTAGTGTTCTAGGGTGATGATCTTTTCGGACAAAATTTGAATTATAGAATTGTGTTCTTTTGGGGATGGAGGGGTAGGTAAAAGTGACCTTGACCCTAGGTATTTGCTGATGAAATTTTAAAAAATTACAACAAAATTTCAATTCATGTGTGTGGCCGAGGTGAACATGCATAAATATGGTGGGAAGTGCCAAATCATTTTAAGATTTTGGATGAAAAATGATTGGTTCTTAAGCTAAAGGTAATTTATTAGTTTATGAAAACCTACACATAATTGTGTGTATGGAAGAAATGCAATGGTTGTGTCTTCAACAGTGCTTTTCCGTGCATCTTAGATATTTTGCATGTGGTGGCTAGAGAGAGTTCTTTTTGTTGTATTCCAGAAGCTAAAGCGCTCTGTGAAATTCTGTATGGGTCACTCTCCTTGGATGGCTAGTTCTCCTTAGTGGTGTCTCGGTTGCATGTCCTATTTCGTGAATTTTTTTTAGGAAAAAACAACACATAAAATTCTAGTATGAATTGCTTTATTTTCAACAAACTACACATGGGTGTCCCATAGCCCACTACTAAGCCTGTTGCTATTCAGATATATCACATTGTATCATATACTCGGATCACACTTTATATTTCAGAATACATTTGCTGGAGGAATTGACACAACTGCTATAACTGCAATTTGGATAATGTCCGAGATCATGAGGAATCCAAGGGTGATGCAAAAGGCACGAGCTGAAGTTCGCAACACCGTGAAAAACAAACCACTGGTAGATGAAGAAGATAGCCAAAACCTCAAGTACCTCGAGATGATAATAAAAGAAAATTTTAGGCTGCACCCACCAGGGAACTTGTTGGTTCCAAGACAAACCATGCAACCGTGCTTGATTGGTGGATACAATGTGCCATCAGGAACAAGGGTGTTTATAAACATATGGGCAATGGGAAGAGGTCCTATGATATGGGACAATCCAGAGGAATTCTACCCAGAGAGGTTTGAGGACAGAAATATGGATTTTAGAGGCTCCAACTTTGAGCTTGTTCCATTTGGCTCAGGGAGAAGGATTTGTCCTGGTGTTGCCATGGCTGTGACTAGTTTAGAGCTTGTAGTGGCCAATTTGTTGTATTGCTTTGATTGGAAACTTCCAAAGGGAATGAAGGAAGAAGATATTGATATGGAGGAAATAGGGCAGATTTCTTTTCGCCGGAAAGTGGAACTTTTTATTGTGCCTGTGAAACATGAACAATATCAGCTTATGGGACACATAAATTAATATGCAATTGAAATAAATTTCCTATAATATTTTCATCTCATAGACATATTTTATTTTTCCCCTTATAGTTTTGTGTTGTCATGCTTTAATTCTTTAAAATTTTAAGGAACAACCTAGATTATGTTGTTTAGCTATGGCATTGGCCTGATTTTCATACCTTATTTAAGTTATTATTTAAAATTGGTCCATCAACTCTCAAAACTATTCATGTTTTATCTATGGGCCTAATCTAAGGTGGTTCTTTTTTTTTTTGATGATATGGAATTTATGTGGAATCTAATGGACAAAGAGCGATGATGCTACTGTACTAAATAACCAATACAAGAATCCACATACTTTCTCTCTATATGTGTCTTCCACCTTATATCTTCCATATATTTATTTATTTATTTGTTTTGATTTTCCAGCCAAAATGATAAATAACGCATATTGGAAGATTTGGGTGCCACAGGGCATATTAGCTATCGAATCAGGAATAAAAGCATATAGAAAGAAAAGAAGTTAGCTGACATGTGGAATAATAGTATGTTTTATTATTATGTTCAACACAAATGTCAGGTGATTGAGAATAATAGTATGAATTTTATTAGGCCAAGAGATGAAAGGTGAATAATGTTTTTGAGTTGAAGGACTAATTGCGAACGGTATTACTAGAGCGACCCAATCCAAATATGAGGAACAAAATTAATGTGGACTTCTCCTCCCGTTTTAATAATTCTATTGTGTGTTGCCACCAATAAAGCAGGATAGCATTACCTAACACCCCATGTCCTTAGCCATCTGTAGTAGTGGTTCTAGTGGTAGTTTAGTATCTTCTTTGATCTTTCAGTTATAGAGCGTTATAATAATATTTCGGTTATAGAGGGTTAGCTTATAAGTCTTAGCACTTCAACAATAGTACCGAATTAACTTTTTTACAGGAAGCAAGCACGCAATCATAAGTGGGGTACGGCCACCATAGGGATGTGTCACACCCCGCCTAGACACTGCCAAACAAACATTACCAAGGAGGGTGCACCACAAGAGAACGATGAACTATCTACCACAGAACCACAATGCATACCAGTCTAAGGAAATAAGTGCTAGTATCCGTGGTAACAAAATGAATCATTGCAAAACTAGTAATAAATTCATACCTTTCTATTGCGACCTCTCAAGTAATCCCTGAGTAGCAACCTTCATCTAGAAACAAGAGCCAGTGTCGAAACTTTAACGTAGCTAGAACACCAATCCACAAGCATCGGCTTGGATCTGTGAACGAAAAAAAACATATTCTTCATCTCCATCAACCTAAACTTAGAAATGGAAGAAAAACAACAACAATAGAAAGTTGTACTTTCATACGCCGTAAGCCACTAAAAAATGTTAATAATACAAGCTTTAAAGTAAATCTAGGTTTATTTTGCAAATTCTTTATTCCAAAACACTCTTCAAACTTCAAAGCTTAAAGTTTTACAAACCATTTGGAATGATACTTATCGTCTCGATCCATCCGTGAGTTGCTTTGTAACAACTCAAGTAGGAAAGCAAGATTTTAGTTTTATTCATCAATTCTCTTTTCCTCTAATAGTTTCTTTTCACTTTCTCAAACATTTCTATCTCCTCATTTCATATCACTTTATCACATCTTATACCTTTGCTCTTCAAGCTTGTTAATAATGAAATTTGGTAAGCCTGGAGTAGTCATCGGCTTAGAGTCAGCATCGGCTTCGAAGTCCTGAGATTAGCCGATGAGAGTTGTCAAGTCGTCAGTTGTCAGATTCTTGCTATATTCGGTTAAGGAAATTGATCTACTAAAGGAAACTTATCCAGAAGAGACCGAGTTCAAAGAGAATACGGCATGGCAAGTTATCTATTAATTAGGAATAGTTTGTTAGTTTCCTTTTATCTTTAGGAAAGTGTGTTTAGTATCCTATATGGACTTTATCTTTTCCTTTTATCTTTAGGAAAGTTTCTTTCTTGTCCGACAAGGACTTGTATCAACCCATGGGTATAAATATGTACACCCGGGGTCTACGTAATCTATCGCTACGATCAATACAATTCGGCGCATCGCCACCCTTTTTACTTCTACTTTTGTTTTTACGTTCCGACGGAACCTGGCACCCAACGCGGGGCTGCATCGTCTTCGATCTCCGGCTAAGGGATAAGTCCAATGTTCCGCCAGTCCAGGCAATTGTATCGTCTACGTCGGCATCGTTCAAGGCTGCATCAATACATTCGACCTCTTGGATTACTCTGGTTTGGATAATATATTTGCCTGGCTATTTATCATATGTCTATGTTAATCTAGTCCTAGCATCTCAATTTAGCTCTATCGGCTGTCTCACGCTTTAGGGTTTCTACCGGTATCGGCTAAATTGCTTTGCTAGATTAGATTAGCCTAGGCATCTACCACCCTGAAAATCAGTCAACGGCTTGATTGTCTAGATATTGTGTTTCTTTTCATACTTAGTGTTGCATCAGTTAAGTTTGATCTACTAAGTCGTGCTTAGAACCATAATCTCTAGCCTGCTTTTTGACTGCCAATAAGGGTTTCATCAGGGTTTCAGCCGGTGAGTTATCTGGACGTTGCATCGGCTCATAAGGATTGCATATACATATAAGTTGGATTTAGCCGATGACAACAAAGGTTTCATTGTTTAATTTAATCTTGTGGATTTCATGACATCAGACCTCCAGCCGATGTGTGCTTTAACCTTCGGATCGATGCTTATTTATCATATCAATACTAGCCGATTGGTTTATACTTGATTATATTGTTATTTTATTACATCATCATCAGCTGATTGTCTTTATATCATTATCTACATCGGACATATAGCCGATTGCTTAAACCCTATCGCTATCGGCTGGTATTGGCATCGGCTATTATCGGGTATCGGCTAGAACCACTCCATCGGCTTGTCAGCCGATCGGCTATTTGATCTACTATTTGCATATCTTGTCAGTTGCAGGATCAAACTGACTGGCACGCTCGCATCTCATCAACCTTTGGACCTGCACAGGAGCTAAGCAGATCTCCCAAGCCGGTGTGTTCATTTTTTCGTCAACACAAATTGGCACGCCCAGTGGGACCATGAATTTTATATCCACATGTCTGAAGAAGAAGTTAATGCCAAGATCATGGTCACAGTGGAGAATTTAATGGAGGAACAAAAATATCGGCTCGGGGGGCAAGCGCATCAGCTTCAGCATGGTGAAGCACATCAGTATCAGATCATGAAAGCCGATTACAAGATAGGGAAAGAAGATAATTTTGAAGCATGAATTCTCATACTCCAAAACTGGGGGGTATGTGTTAATAGTGAAATTTGGTAAGCCCAGAGTAGTCATCGGCTTAGAGTCAGCATCGGCTTCGAAGTCTTGAAATTAGCCGATGAGAGTTGTCAAGTCGTCAGTTGTCGGATTCTTGCTATATTTGGTTAAGGAAATTGATCTACTAAAGGAAGCTTATCCAGAAGAGACCGAGTTCAAAGAGAATACGGCATGGCAAGTTATCTATTAATTAGGAATAGTTTGTTAGTTTCCTTTTATCTTTAGGAAAGTGTGTTTAGTGTCATATAAGGACTTTATCTTTTCCTTTTATCTTTAGGAAAGTTTCTTTCTTGTTCGACAAGGACTATCAACCCTTGGGTATAAATATGTACACCCGGAGTCTATGTAATCTATCACTACAATCAATACAATTTGGCGCATCGCCACCCTTTTTACTTCTACTTTTGTTTTTACGTTCCGGCGGAACCTGGCACCCGACGCGGGGCTGCATCGTCTTCGATCTCCGGCGAAAGGATAAGTCCAATGTTCCGCAGGTCTAGGCAATTCTTCTCGGAGAGGTCACCAGGCAACTCCTCCACAAGCCATCAAGGAGGCGGCAACCTCCAAGAGTAACAAGCAATGACCCAGCGTGGAGATGATCAATCAAGTGCCACACTAGCTCTACAATGGAAGCAAATGCACTTGACTCTTGGCTAATTAACCCTCTAACACACTAGATGGATGAACACAAAGCTCAAGTGGGTGTGAGAGAGGTGCAAGGGGTGTATGCAATTGAATTGGGTGCTAAGAGATCCCTCTTTCTGCTGGAGGGGGAGTATTTCTACTGTCACCAACCAAAACTAGCCGTTGGGGGCGAAATCCCCCAACTCTTTGCTCTGCCGGTCTGACCGGAGGTATGTGGCCGGTCAGACCGTGCTACTCTGCAACGGCTAGAAAACTAGCCGTTGTAGCCCTATCAGAGGGCCCCATCGGCCTGGCCGGTCAGACTGCTGTTGAGTGGCCGGTCAGACCGGCCTCGGCTCGGTCAGACCGCCATCGGCTAGGTCAGACCGAATACGGCTCCATCGGCTCTGTATCGGCCACCCCGAGCAACACCATCCCGGCCTCCAGGGGGCCGGTCTGACCGCGCATATGGCGCCGGTCAAACCGGCCTTATGCGCCGGTCAGACCGCCGTTTTGTGGCCGGTCAGACCGGCCAGGGCACGCTGGTTAGACCGCCACTATGTGGCCGGTCTGACCGCCCCTGGTCAGGCCGAACCCAGTACATACAGTGACAAATATATATAGCAAGTGTGTGTTGGATGAAATGTGAGCACAAGTCTAAATGCATAATGACCTAATGTGGCAATTAAAATCATCTCATTGCTAGGTCATTACCCCCCTTGATAGTACGGTGAAACTAAAAATAAACTAGCAAATTTGATCGCCCTACACCTCGGTCAATTCTAAATTAAAGCACTAGATTTACCGTCTTCTTTCCCTTTGCTTTGCGCCGTCAATTTTAATCCATCGATAGTCATTCGTGCGCACACATAACGTGGATCTAACTTAAAATATATCTCAATAGCAACGGTTAGTCCATAATTAGCGCTTGTCATTAATTACCAAAACTAACAACGGTGGCCTAGATGCTTCAATCTCCCCCTTTTTGGTAATTGACGACAAACACAACAAATATATATAAACAAACATGGAACATATGGACATATATTGCAAAGGAAATGAAAAGCTCCCCCTAAACATGTGCATATCAATCATAGACAACGAATATGGAGCCAATACACATTTCAATTTCACATTTCAACAAGCACAAACACATAAGCAATATTTCAATGTGAACTTCAAGAAATATTCATCCACGAGCATAAGATGGTCACATATATATCAATATCACATATACCATCCATCATCGCACAAGTTCACATCACTTAACCGTTCAACTCACATAAGTCACAAATCATCCTAAA